AACTCGGTGGCTCAAGATTTTTTCATACAAGTGATAATAAAAAATGTAGAATACATAATATAATAATCACCAAAAACCTCTTTACACGTTTGGTGGTGTAAAGTGGTGGTCATCATAGCTTTACTGAGATAAAACAAGAGGGGACAGCGGCTTGGTGAAGAAATCGAGGAGAAAAAAACAGAGGGATTGTTCATGTAAGAGGTTCTTCGAGCCAAAATTTGGGTAGACATTCGACCTTTAATTTTGATGAAAGTTTAGATGTTACTCGTAGCAATGGAAATTACAAATAGATCAATTTATTTTATTAAAAGTTTTCTCGGATTGATATTTTGTAACAATTATCGGGTGAGATCTCTTGTTACTTTGTTGATATATATTTTCGAGTGATAAATTATTAATATTTTGATAACCTCCAAGAAATAGTTATGATGACGATTATTGTAAATAAATCTATTATTGAAATATAATAAAAGGCTTAGATCAAAGTTTATGGATGTACACAGGGTTTGGAAAAATTATATAAATTTTGTGTCTTGTTTGGAGTTTATTTATTATTTGCTTTAACTTTTCATAGATTTAGTTTGGAATCGCATATTTAATTTATATAAAGAAAGGTAGAAAATTAGGGTGTGTTGGATTGCATATCAAAAAAAAATCCGAAAAATAATTTTTGGGAAGAATTGTAAAAAAGTGTTTTTGAAAATTTATATATTGCAAAATCTTATTTGATTATATATTTTTAAAAATAATTTTAAGTACTATAAAATAGTAAAACTTATTTTGACAATAATCTACAAAACAAACACCACCCCAATTTTTATCTTATCACTCTTGTCTTTCTCTCTCCAGTTCTACCTTCCTGTCTTCCCTTCTCTCTCTCTCTTCATAACAAACACATAGATAGCAAACACACACACCTACACCCACACATTCACACAATACACACACATACAGATTTGTGTTTAGATCTGTATATATTCACAAATCTGTACATATATATAAATTTGTTGAAGAGAGAGAGAAAGAGGAGATGAGTTGTGAGAGTGAGAGTGAGAGAGAGAGAGAAAGAGATAGAGAGATAAGGTCGTCTTCGGCCTTCTTCGATGCTCGTACAGTTGGTGTTTTTCGGTCAGCCTTCATCATTGCTCGTTCGTCATCGACCTTTGCGGGGGGCATATTTTGTAGCCAATCGGATTCGATTGTTGGATCTCATTAATTAGACCTTCCTATTTCTCGTGTTTTAACTTATTTAAAAAAAATATTCCCAAATTTGGCCAAAACACCTCCCACTTATTCTCTTCTGAGTAATGCTAGATGGACTTAAAAAGTAGACTTAAAAATTAGAGTTGATAATCTCAACCATTGAATAGGTAGTGGGTCCCAATAAATGTTAGGACCCATAGTGAAATTAATAGTTGTAATTATCAAGTCTACTTTTTAAGTCCATATAACATTACTCCTCTCTAAAACTCCATCTTAATTCCCACTTTTTCTAAAAATTAGAGATTGAAGAAATCTAATCAAACATGTTTTCTTTATTTTTAGAGTTTTGAGAGCAAAAAACTATTTTGTAAATACAATCCAAACATACCCTTATTTTTGTTATTTTTGTGAATTCACCGTATCAAAGTGACATCAGAGCACAGGTGCTTGATTAAATTGTATGAATTTTAATAAAGGAATCTTTAGGTACCATAATTAAATTAAATTAATGCATCAAATTACTCCGTTAGGAAGAAAAAGATGGAGGATATATTGTATTCGAAAGCTTTGTTTGAGCTTATTAAATTGAAGGAAATCAAGTCATTGCTGATTAGAACCGAGGAGAAGTGGAAGAAAGTCAATCGAAAAGCCGTAAGACATATTAGACAATTGATCGATCAAAGTGTCTTCCATCATGTAGTTAAAAAAATTGATGCTTATCGACTTCGGCAAAAAATAGCGACTCTATGAGCGCAAGGCTGCACAGAATAAAACCTTTATGATTCAAGGACTTGTGAACTTGAAGTGTAAGGATGAATATGGTGTTCTAGGGTATTTAAATAATTTTCAAGAATTTTTGAATGAGTTGTCCACCATGAAACTTGTGCTCGATGACAAGACGCAAGCATTACTTCTCTTGAGTTCCTTACCAGATAGTTGGGCAACCCTAGTTGTGTCGCTCAGTAACTCGGCTCCTAATGGGGTGATCACTATCAATATAGTGAAAGACAGTATGTTTAATGAAGAGGCCAGACAAAAAGAGCAGAATATTTCTTTTAATTCAAATGCACTTGTTACAGAAGATAGAGGGAGAAGAAAAACTAGATATTACAGTGATGACAATTGTGACAAGCCAAGAGAAAGATCCAAATCAAAATCTGGAAAAGTCTAGAAAGGGGATAACGTGCTTTCATTATGGCAAGCATGGGCACTATGAGAATGAGTATAGAAAGTGAAATGAGAGCAATCTCAAAAAAAAGGCGAAGAAAAGAAAGATGAAAATAATACTGTAGCAATTCTATTTAAGAATGATGTGATTATTCTTTGTGATGATGCCTACACTAATGTTGCATGCTAGAACTGTACTTGGGTAATTGATATAACAATTTTCTTTCATATTACTGTATGTAGAGATTTCTTCTCCTTCTATACTAGTGGTGACTTTGGTTGGGTTAGGATAGAAAATGAAGCAAAGTGCAAGATTATGCACATCAGCCATGTATTGCTAGAAACCAGTATTGAGTGTAAATTACTTCTCAAGGATGTCAGACATGTTCCAGAAATGCGCTTCAAATTGAATTTCATTGAAAAGCTTGATGATGAAGGCTATCATAATCATCTGGTTGATGCAAAATAAAAACCTAGCAATGGTTCTCTTAACTTGGTCACTGACAAAAAAATAAACACTCTCTACAATAGAGACTTGGTCACATTTCTTAAGAAAAAACTTCAGATTTTTAAAAAGAGTAGCTCTTAACTAACATTAAAGGTCTAGCCCATGTGAGTAGCCCAACCCATAGTAATGGGTCTATAGCCCATTTACTTAATATGTTGTTTTCTTCATAGATATGCAAAAAATAAAAATAAAGGCTGTTGAAGGAAATGTCATCCCATGGGACCACGCGTAAGAAAAATAGAAACCAAGGATAGAAAAATGGAGGGATTCATTCGCGTTGGCCAATTTTCCAGTTAAAACTTAGATTGGTATTGAACGTCCGATTTTGATGAAATTTTAGTATGTTATTTATAGTAACGGGGACTAAACATTGATCAATTTATTTTGTCGAAAGCCTTTTCGGATAATATGTTACTTTTGTTTTTACCCATTTTTAGGTGATGAATTATTAATGACTTTGAAAAAGATTGTCGTAAACCCATTAATAGAAAATAGTAGAAGGTTGCAATCGAAGTTCATGAGAACCACGTAAATTATGTATTGCTTGTTGTTTGTTTATTATCTACTCTAATCTTTGTTTATTGAATTTGGTACATCGCCTATTTAATTTGAATAGAGACATAAATAAGATCAAAATCAAAGCATTTGTGCCAACGAGAATGTTTCTCAATGTCATTTCTTTGTTATTTTATGTGACCCACATTCTATACCATCTTCAATATCCAAACACGAGTTTGGTTTACAAACGAAAAAAACCACAACAGTTGAACCCCCACCTGGTTATGGATTTGGATTAGGTTAATAAGTCCAATCCGCTTTGTGAAAAAATAAGTCCAATCCAACCATAAACACTTCTGCGATCCAAACATGAGGAGCTGTCCTTGGACCCCGATTAATAGATGTTAGTTAATGTGATCCGATGATACTTCAACCTAGATATTGTCCAGCTCCATTCATTATGGGATATGAATAGTTCAGGTAATTGTGTCAGGTGAAGTAGGATTGTGTCAAATATTTTACTCATACTCAAATGGTTTAATAATTCGTATTTAATGAATTGTATTATATCAAGTTTGTGTCATGTATGAATCGTGTATAATTAGTATATAAATAAGTCATGTCCAATATTTCTTTCAGTAATGCTACACTGACCAAATTTTGGGACTAAATTTGAAGTCTAAATGACATGACAGCTGACTTAGGCTTTTTTTTTTGTATCATGTCATTTGGGCCTCAATAAAAACTTCAAATAATATATTGTCATGTCATTTAAACTCTAAATTTGGTCAATATAGCATTACTCTATTTCTTTTGATTGACTTCAACTTTATTCGATTTGTTTATTAATCTTATCGGGTTCACTTGTTTACAAAGCAACTTAAAAAAGACTCAAACCCTTCAATTTTATGTCGTATTAATATCGTGATAACGGGACGAGTCACATTTTGACACCCTAAATATGGATGTCGGCATCAATTTCTTAATACAGTACGTCTAGTGCTTAGGCTGAGGCTAAGGTTAACAACTAGAGCGAGCATAATTTTTTTATTATTTTTTACCCAAAAAAAATAGTGAACAGATATAAGTGATCAAATTGATGCATCAAACCCGTAATGGCTGACCCAAAAATAAGCAGCTCATGGAGTTAGCATGTTGGAAACAAACATCTTTCCCTTGAGTAAATTACACTTTGTCCCCTAAACTATGACCTTCATTTCACTTCCCTTTAAACTATTGAATTTCTCGTTTTATACTCTCAACCACTTGAAGTGATTTTACACTTTTCCAAATTCAAACATCCACTCTCTTTTGGACGAGCATGGCTACGAGTGAAGGTAAAATAAAACAAAATCACATTGTTCCGGAGCAACGTGAAAAACTTCCAATCAAAAATCTAACAAACGTTAATCATTGAGATGACGTAAGATTAATAACCATATATATAAGTACAACTTAAGAAAAATAATAGTAAAGGGTACAAAGAAAGTTCTGATTCTATGAATTTCACCAATTTGAGAATAATAATTAATTCTTTGTTCCAAATGCTTAACATTAAAACACAACCTTATTCATCCACAACACATTTTAGAACAAATAAGAAACAGCACTGCATTTGGGGTCATCACTTCCTCAGCAGCTTCTCTTTCATCCTCTCAACTGCACTCCTGAGAGTTCCCTCATCTTTGCAGAAGGTGAATCGTACGAGATTCTTTCCATCTTCTGGATTTAGATAAAATACGCTCGTTGGAACTGCGACAACCCCGACTTCCTTGATCAGATACTCACAGAAGGCGACATCATTTTCGTGTCCAAAAGGGGTGTGATCCACAACCACAAAGAAGGTTCCACTCGATGGGTATACCGTGAAACCCACAGCTTTCAATCCCTCCACCAGAATCGCTTTCTTTGCCATGTAATCCCTCTTCAGCTCCTTATAATAAGAGTCTGGGGATCCAAGGGCTGTTGCAGCTGCATATTGCATGGGCGTTGACGTAGAAAATGTTAGGAACGAGTGTGCTTGCCTCACTCCCCATGTCAGATGCGGGGGAGCTATTGCCCACCCAATTTTCCAGCCTGTTAGAGAGAATGTCTTCGCCAAAGAATTCATGGTTACAGTCCGCTCGTACATCCCAGGAAGAGAAGCCATGGAGATGTGATCCATTTCAAAAGCTAACTTGTCATAAACTTCATCAGTAAAAACCAAAAAATCATTCTCAATGCTGAGGGAAGCAATCACATTAAGTTCTTCTCGAGTAAACATTTTTCCTGTGGGGTTATGTGGAGTGTTTATCACGATTGCTCGAGTGTTCTTTGAGATCATGGACTTGAGCTCATCAATGGGGACAGAAAAATCTGGAGGCCGTAAGGTGACACACTTTATTTTGGCACCAGCCATGGACAGTGTAGCTCCATAAGCATCATAAAAAGGAGCAAACAAGATCACCTCATCACCAGGATTAATCAAGCCCAACATGGTTGCGGCAATTGCTTCAGTGCATCCTGAAGTGACGGTAACTTCCTTTTCAGGGTCAACCACAAGTCCAGTATCTTTCTTGAACCGGGCTGCCACTGCTGAGTTGAGGTCAGGAACTCCACATCCACGAGCATATTGGTTCTTCCCTTCTTTGATGGCTTCAATGGCTGCTTCTTTGACATACTCGGGCCCATCAAAATTGGGGAAGCCTTGGCCGAGATTAATTGCTCCATGCTTCATAGCTAGCATACTCATTTGCGTGAAAATTGTAGTTTTGAACTTGTCCAAGCGCTTTGCAACCTGAAAAAAGAAATCCTACAATGTCAAAGACTTACGAGGCAATAGAAAAATTCTGCAGATAACGACCGACAGTCCATCATGCATGCTTACTGACGGGACTTTAGGCGGCTAAGTAGCCGCAAAGTCGACACGTGGATTATTGTAGCCAGTGAGGAGCACAAAGGGCGCCTGGAGGTGGAGCCAAGGAGTTAAAGCCTAGGAAGGCCAAGTACACCAGTCAGGACCTGGCATTAAAGAAGATATGACAACTCATTAAATAGGGTGAAGACTGGCTACGACTCATTAAATGCGCATCTAGGTCCTTGAGAAGTGTGAGGACAGTCATCAATACAAAGCATTAATTGCGAAGGCGCTGACATTCTGTCCTCCGTGAAACCTAAGGGGTGCTTATTCCCGAGCAGTGAACGCTCAGGCATAGATGTCAAGCACTGAGCAGTGGTATTTAATGCTTAGAGATAGGGTCATTAAGGCTCGGTAGGTTCCGATCGCCCTAGTGAATCGGTCTTGATAGGATTTGATGGGACAGCATTAATTACGCATGGATGCGAGTGCGAGTAATTAAATGTGCAGATGGGACTCTAAGATCCTGCAATCATTACTAGCCCAGGTATAAATACCCCTCAGAAATATGAACAAAGGTATGCAACATAAACTCAGAAAATACACAGTGCTACTGACTCCCATCCTGACTAAGTTGAGCTTCGGAGGAGATTAGCCGGATGTTCACCCGACCCCTTTCCTAATCTTTTGATCGTTACAGGTTCATCATTCTACGAATCGCTATCTCAACATATTGCCGGAAAGCACCCATGCAATTTGGAGTCATCTATGGAAAACAAAGGACCAGTTTTTCTCGTATTGATAGTATTATGGTGAACACGCAATCTCAAGGAGAGGTGGGGAATAGCCTACACGTGACAAACATGGAAGCTGGCCGGCCCCCAGCTATCGCTGAATCACCCTCACTCAGCCTGTCAGATGGAGCCCAATGTCTCTTACAAGACGGTACCAGTGGACCAGAGCCTTGGGGGGCAAGGCATCCTGGCTCGCGAAATCGTTGAGTTAATGGGAAAACGTTTGAAACGACTTGAGAAAAATGCCACCAAGTGCAAAAACAGGCAGGAGAATCCAAGTATCCACTAAAGTGATTTCTGGGGTGCAAGGCAAAAAGTCCCGGGAAGGAGCTTGCATGAATGCCTGAGTGAGAAGCGCGCTCCTCAGCATTATGGAGGGCGCCCCCCCCAGGAGAGTTCCGAAGATAGCAAGAGGCGCAGGTTGGATATGTCCTGTGGGGATCTCCGTCACAGATTCTCAAGAAGTACTGAGGTGGCAGAGTCCCGCACGGATTCAACTGCAAGGAGGCCTAGGAACGAAAGACCCCGAAAAGACCTCTGGACGTGCTTGGATACTAAGCGCCAGAGACCCCTCCGAAGGGAGGATGATGACATCGAAGACGAGCAGATTGTCTCACCGTTTGTTCGAGCTATCTTGGAGTTCAAGCTACCGAAGAAGTTTACAGTCCCATATTTTAAGGTTTACGATGGGAGGACAAACCCCGAGAGTCACCAACGGCAGTATAAGCAACTGATGTCCATCTACGACACTAATCAAAGGTTACTATATCGAGTGTTTCCCATAAGCTTAGGGGACACTGCCATGAAGTGGTATGAGAGTTTGGCTCCTAAGAGTATCAAGTCTTGGAGGCAGATGTCCGAGTTGTTTGTTGCTTGATTTATCACCAACAGCAAAAAGCCCAAAGACATCGGTGCTCTACTGACACTCAAACGTAGGAGTGGTGAGACTTTTCGGCAATATGCCATAAAATATTGGGAAGAGGTGAACGAAGTGGAGGCATGCTCGGAAGCCAAGGCGGCAGTGACATTCCGACTGGGGTTGTCCTGAGATACACACCTGTATCACTCTTTGACTAAGCGGGCTCCGGTGGACATGAAGGACCTCATGTCCCGCATAAACAAATATGCGAGGGTGGAAGAGGAGTCGAATGTGCCAGAGCTTCGGGCTCCGACAATGAAAAAACAAGACAGGAAGCCTCCTGCAAGGAGGGGTGCACCGGCCCTACCTCCAGGCCGCATATCTTTCCAAGGAGTGAGCACAGTCTTCAAAGAGCCTATTTACAAAATGCTTCACAAGATAAAGAAGTCTTTCTTCAAGTGGCCACCAAAGATGCAAGGGGATCTGGCATCCAGGGATTCGATGTTTCGATTCTCTTACCACCGAGACGTCGAGCATACGACTGAGGACTGCCGGGTGTAGAAGTCATTCCTCAAGCAGCTGGTCCAAGAAGGACACCTCGAGGAATTCATTGACGACACGGACCCAAAGGGTCCGACTGGGGATAGAGCAGATGTATCCCAAGAAGCAGCTACTATGATTGAAGTGATACACGCTTGCACGATAGACAGACCCACTTACAATTCATTCTGTGCCGACCTCCAGAGGGTCGCGCAAGCCGTAAGGTTGGAAGAAACAAGGCTTGGGGGGTAACCTTCTAAAAGACCTCAGCTTGACGCCAAAGCCATCCAATTCACGGATGCTGACCTGAGTGGGTTGGCCCTTCCGCATAAAGGCGCCCTAGTGATCACCCTTTAAATTGAGAAGTTTGATGTCAAAAGGATCTTGGTGGATTCTAGAAGTTCATCCGAGGTGATGTATGAGAGTCTCTTCCAAAAGATGGGCTTCACCCAAAAAGATTTAAAGCCCGTAAAGACCCCCTTGTAGGGTTCAACGGTTCATATGCCCTCCCCCTCGGAAAAGTTACCCTCATGGTCACCGCCAGAGTTGTCACTGTCCCGGTTGAGTTTGTGGTGATAGACTCCGACTCCCCCTACAACGCCATCATGGACAAAACATGGTTGCATGCGATGAAGACTGTGCATTTGTTGTACTATCAGAAGATAAAATCATGGAGATTCATAGCAACCAAGTATCATCAAAAAGTTGCTTTTACGAAGCAATGAAGACTGGGGTTAACGCTAAGTCCCAACAGTGTAACCCTGAGGCTGTGTTGGCAAAATAGCAATCACAGTTCAGTCGGTCGAAAGTCGATGACCCCATCACGAACCTTGTCGACTGATCAACGGAGGCTCTGGTCAAGGTCCTTCTAAATCCAGAGGACGATGAGAGATTTTTCCTAGTACGGGCATCGCTGGTTAGCACCAACAAGTCTGAGATGGTAAACTTCCTTTGTGGGAATGCCAACGTCTTTGCATAGGCCCCCACCAAGATGACAGGAATAAATCCCGAGGTGATGCGCCACCGACTTCATGTTGATCCTACTTTCAAACCAGTGAAACAGAAGGCTCAGAGAACAGCTCCTCACCATACACAAGCGGGTGATGAGGAAATAGACAGATTGCTCAGGGCTAGATCAATCAGGAAAGTCCAGTTCCTTGAGTGGCTGACAAACACGGTATAAGCAAAGAAAAAACGCAAAAAGTGGCGAGTTTACGTGGATTTTACAGATCTGAACAAGGCATGCCCCAAATATGAATACCATTTGTCGAAGGTCGATCAACTTGTGGATGCCACTGCAGGACATGAGCGCATTTCCTTTATGGATGCCTGAGCAGGCTACCATTATATCTCATTATACGAATTTGATCAGGAAAAAAACGACGTTCATCACACCCTGATGGATTTATTGTTACACGGTGATGCCGTTCGACTAGAAAAATGCTAGTGCCACTTATCAGCACTTGATGAATAAGATGTTTAAGTGACAACTCGGCGCCACAATGAAAGTCTACATTGATGACATGTTGGTAAAAAAAAGGTGAATGCCGACCATCTTCGAGATCTCAAAGTAATCTTTGCCCTGCTCCGAAAATATGGCCTGAACCTCAACGCTTTGAAATGTGCTTTCGGGGTCAGTTCAAGCAAATCCTTGGGATATCTGGTCACTCATCGTGGTATAGAGGCCAATCCCAATCAAGTACAGGCCGAGCAAGGGATACAAAAGCTGAAGACTATCAAGGACAAACAAAAGTTAACCGGAATGATGGCAGCTCTCAACTGATTTATTTCTAAGTCCTCATATAGATGCAGGTCGTTCTTCACCATTCTTAAGGGGGCGACGAAGGGATCCTGGGGTGAGAAATGCGATCAGGCACTAGAGGGAATCAAAGAATACTTAAGGTCTCCTTCGACCTTGTCAATTTGGCGACGGGCGAGGTCCTACTCCTCTACCTGTCTATCTCAGAGGGAACTGTCAGTGAGGCCTTGGTAAGAGAGTTCAATGGGGTGCAGAGACTAGTCTATTATGTAAGCAAGACCATTCTTGATGTCGAGACTAGGTATTTGCTAATGGAAAAGCTTATACTAGCTTTGGTCATCTCGACTAGGAAACTTTGGCTCTACTTCTAGGCGCATCCCATAGAGGTCTTGACCGACCAGCCCCTGAAACCCATACTTTACAAAACAGATATGTCTGGGGGAGTGTCCAAATGGGCCGTGGAGCTAGGGGAGTTCAAGATAACCTACAAGCCCCGTACTTCTATCAAAGGGCAGATCCTTGCTGATTTCATCGTCGAGTTTTCTGCGTCCGAGTCTCCACCAGAAGAGGAGGCGATAGCTTTCGGCCACAACAATGTTTGGAGTTTGCATGTGGATAGCTCCTCAAACACAAGGGGGCAGGAGTGGGTGTAGTCTTGGTCAATTCTAAAGGATTTACAGTGGAACGAGCTATTAGGCTTGGATTCAAAGCATCCAACAATGAGGTCGAGTACGAGGCATCATTGGCTGGGCTCGACATCGTGTACTCAGTCGGTGTGGGGCACCTCCAGATCTTCTACGATTCATAATTGTGGTAAATCAAGTTAACAGGGACTTTAAGGTCCAAGATGACAAGATGAATGCCTATCACCACAGAGCAAAGTCAAAGATAGAGAGATTCCAAAAGATAGAGGTGTCCCAAATTTTCAGAGATCACAACAGCCATGCCGATGCGTTAGCTTGCCTAACCTCGGCATTGGCTTCATAAGTAACTCGGCGCATCATCATCGACTACCTCGAGAGTCCGAGCATAAGGGACTTGAATGCTGAGGAGGTCCTGTCAACAAGCGTTCAAAGTATGTCGCTAAGCTGGAAGGACCCCATAATTGAGTACTTAATGAACGGAACGCTCCTCGAAGATCCCAAAGAAGCCAGAAATGCCAAACTGAAAGCTCCTAGATTCTGGATATCCCCCGATCACAAGTTGTACCAAAAATCCGTCATGGGACCGTATCTTCTTTGTGTTCCCGAGAGTAAGGTGGAACTATTGTTGTACGAAGTTCACGAGGGAATATGTGGGAGTCACACAGGAGGAAGATCTCTCGCACACTGTGCAATGTCTCAAGGGTATTGGTGGTCGTACATGCAGAAGGATGTCAAACGGTATGTTCAAAAATGCGACAAGTGCCAGAAGTTTGCTCCGATCATCTGACAACCGACAGAGAATCTAAACCCTGTGACAAATCCTTGGCCATTTTCTCAGTGAGACATGGATATAATAGGGCCTCTGCCGAGAGCTCCTCTGGGCAAGAAATTCCTTTTAGTTGCCCCTAACTACTTCACCAAGTGGATTGAGGCCAAGCCCTTAAGTCGTATTCGGGATATGGAAATGAAGAAATTCATCTGGCAGAATATAATCACTAGGTTCGGCATCCCCCGAGCCATCGTCTCCGATAACGGCACCCAATTCAATAGTGGGCCATTTAGGGAATTTTGTTCAGGATTTGGAATATGCAACTACTATTCCACCCCGACATACCCTTAATGTAACGAGCAGACGGAAGTCTCCACTAAGACGGTGTTGGCTAGGATAAAAAAGAGGTTGGAAAGAGCTAAGGGCAGATGGACCGAAGAACTGCTCAAAGTCTGTTGGGCGTACAAAACCACCCCGAGGACCTCTATAGGGGAAACTCCCTATGCCATGACTTACAGCATTAAGGCTGCTATATCTTTGGAGGTAGGACTCCCTGATATACGAAGCCAAGCCTTCGAATCAGGAAACAACAATGAAACACTAGCCAGGGATCTCGATTTGATCGAGGACAGAGGGGAATTAGCATCTATACGGTTGGCCAAATATCAAGTGGAATTATCGAGACATCATCAAAAGAATGCCCGAACAAGAAGTTTTCAAGTGGGAGACTTGGTATTACGCAATGTTGTGGGCAATACGCGGGAGGGAGTCCACTGACGGGAAGCTCGACCCCAATTGG